CCGTAAGCTGCCTGCCTATACTGCGTCACAGCAATCGGTAAGTCATTTTGCTATTAGAGCTGCATAGTTGGTCCGTAATGCCACAGGACAAATTATCTTGTTTTACTGACATGCAATTTCCTAAATTCAGAACTGTATGTTCTAAGAACTACACGTGTTTTCCTTATCTGGACCCTTAAGCATTTGTTTACTATATAAACAGCGTAGTCCAAAATAGCATTGGCAATTGCGAAATGAGACTTTCAAAGAGTAAACTCAACTTAGCTTCGCGTAGTAAATGTCAGACTATTTGGGCCCCATGCCTGGTATGTTACTACTAAGCTTGAACGTACTGGAAATCTTTCAAGTTAATTCCTTTGGATAAGGAGCAAAGTAATTATCTAGCTCTTTTAGTATTTTTCAGCAGTAAATCCAGGAAGCGCTTTACAAAAGGAAGGGGAGGAGGGAAAAAAAGACCACCACCCCCTCCCCCCCCAAACCCCATATCCAACAGAAAACAACCAAGCTAGGAAAACAGAGGGAGAAAACACGACTTCTCTGAAGTCACCCAACAAGGCAATGCTTGAATAAATAAAACCCAGGTTTCAAAGTGCAGTCCAATACTACAAATTATTAGGTCTCAACTTGAATGACAGCAAGCTACATACAGCCACACACAATCTCTGTATTCAAAGAGAATTTAAAGGACAGAAAGTGATTTGTGTTGAATTACTATTTAGAAAGTGTTACCGTCCAACTAACGGAAAGGGAGTGGCTCAATAATTCTGAAGTGACTGTAGCACAGGTATGCCCAAAATATTAATTATTAAGCGTTTTAAGTCATGCCTCTTCAATACCGTGCTGGGGAACCCGAAAAGCAGTTCTCGACTTTGTGAAGTTACGGAAGTGGCTCATGCAGCTGAGCACGCTGGGTACGGGAGAGTACTACCAGCATTTGTTTTCTATTACGACCACCCGTGGAAGTCCAACTACAGCTTCCTTTGATGTGCTTTCTACACCTATTACTGGTGAATGAATTTTATTCTTTCTAGCAATTAAAATCTGTAGACACACAAAACATCACATTTCACATTTAATGGAATGTCAGAATTTTAACAATGGTGGCCTTCAAACAGTGTCTGAATACATGAATCAACGTAACAGTATGCTTTTCAGTGGGGGCTAAGTTCTCAAAAGCCTAAAAAAAAAAAATCAAATTTCCAAGCCTTACTTAAATAATGAAAACTACAAAAAAATAAATAAGGAATGCAAATTAACAGAGTAGAAATTGGTAAGTGCTTCATCAGACCCCTAGCTGCTCATGATGAATTTGAGAGTCAAAATATGGGGAATGGTTGCACTATTATTTTCATGCACATATTATAATTACATTTAGTTTCAAAATCAAATTCTTTTTGGTCAGAAATTTGTACAAACTGAGCTTTTAAAAGTACAGTGAACTACAAAAAGATTAAATATGCAATTATAAAATATATTTATCCTAGGCCATAAGAATATAAAATGTTTATGTTCATGTCACTAGTACATTACACATTACACACATTTAAGGGTAACTTCTTCGCATTAATAATGTAAATGATACAAAACTGTTTATTGCTTATGTCAGGCGTGTAAATTTAAATCCAGACAGCCTTCAGTAGCTAAACCTCTGTGGTTCAAGGTTTGCTTAAGATCTGGTAGAACACCACTTTAAAAAGTGTATAAACAGTTGCAGCATGTTTGTACCTGCTCATATAAAGAAAAAAAAACATCAACTCTGTTGGGGGGCAGCAGTTCATTTTTGTAAGTACCTGCAGTGGAAAGTCCTGAGATGTTGACATGGGATCAAGTTTACATCACTTCTCTATGGTATGGAACGGTCTGTACCCATTCCAGCTGTAAGGAGTTTACTGCTTAAAGTCACACCCCTAGTCATTAACTTGCAGCAAAATCAGCTGCTGGAGCAGACAGGCTTACTGTTTACTTACAAGGAATGTTCTTGAAAATACATTTTCCAGCAACAATAAGCACCAACTAAAATCAGTGTACCAAACCCAATCTTAGTGAGAATAGGTTTCCAATATAACCACCTTTTTCTTTTTCTTTCAGTCTCATTTAGCTTCTGCTTCATCTGCTGCAGCTTCTGTGCTGTATTAGCTTTTCTATCCTCTCGCAGTCTTTTTCGGACAGTACTTAAAGAAAAAAAAAAGAAGAAAAAAAAAGGTAAATCTTAAATTGTAGAACAGGAAAAAAGGCTATTAAAATATTAAAACAAACCTCTTCCCAACACACTCCCAATAGTTAACCAACCCACCAGTAGCGTAATGGCAGCAATATATAAAATCTAAACCAAGCAATCTTGATTCTGTTTTAACAACCTCGATGTGGACAGTTTCAGGTCAGTGAAGCCCCATGAAGCAAGTAAATGACGTACGTAAAGATGTAAGTGGGGCTTGACCTACATGTTCAACAGGGATCAGAATTACCTTAATTATCCGAGCGTAGTCCTTCACCCCCATCAGTGCCCCATTCAGTGGCTAAGACTTTTTGCACGGAGGCTGCTTTTATATGCAATGTCAGGTACTACGTGCAAACATTCATAGTGTTTAAGCGCACGCCTCCGCTGCAGAGTTCACACTAGCCTCACTGATATATTGATCCTAACCTACTCATGTCTGCATACAGATTTAATGATGCTCCTCTTAGGCTGTAAACCAAATCTTGATCAAGGAGACAGGCTAAAAATCAGTTGTGTGTTGTTACACTATCAGGGCCGCCTTGTAATTCTTGTCTCCAAAAGTATCCTCACAATCTCTAAGAAAGCGTTACTCCGACACAAAAAAACCCGCTTCGACTGTCCGAGTCCTAGCACACAAACACCACACTCGCACCCATGCCCCACCTCCTGCTCGTGAGGGGCTCCTTCAAACATCTGAGATGACAGAATTGCTGTCATTCTCTCTCAAAACACTCAAAGACATGGAAAGATAAACTCATCACGGCATTCAGTAAGCCATCTGTTATTTCAGAATTGCAATCTATCTACATTGAACTGCTGCATCTCGTTTCAGACTGCAAGCCTTTGGGACAGACACTGCCTCCTCCTGTGCGCTGCACGGATCGGCACAACCCAGTCTGGTTTCTGGGTCTCTGGCTATGGATCCACACGCTACCCCCGGTGGGCAGGCCCAAGTGACACAGTGCCTCAAGGCACAGCAATTCGGATGGTAATTCCCAATACAGCGGCTCACAGCTGAGGCATTGCTACTCATGAGACAGAGAAACTTGAAAGAGAAAGACAAATTCACATGCCACAGCTAAACCACAGAAATCTATTCACCGTGTTGGATTTAACATGAACGGAGGGTAACATATGGCTTCAATGATACAATTGCAATCATCATATAGAAAGCGGTAGGTGATAAAAGCTCTGTGCTTCTGAAGTATCATGTATTTTTCCAAACAGAAGTTAGCAATGTATTTAAAAATCAGTACTGAATTATTTTGGGCACTTTTAGGACCTAATTCACGCTGCACAACAGAGTTCACAGACAGTCTGTAGGAAAAGGCTTTCAAGCGTGAGGTTTAGCCGCTTCGATTACAGACATGTGTTTTTCTTCTCTTGACCTTTAAATAATAAAGGCTTATTACAAGGAATAATTGAAGTTGTATTTAAAAAAAAAAAAAAAAAAAAAAAAAAAAAAAAAAAAAAAAAAAAAAAAAAAAAAAAAAAAAAAAAAAAAAAAAAAAAAAAAAAAAAAAAAAAAAAAAAAAAAAAAAAAAAAAAAAAAAAAAAAAAAAAAAAAAAAAAAAAAAAAAAAAAAAAAAAAAAAAAAAAAAAAAAAAAAAAAAAAAAAAAAAAAAAAAAAAAAAAAAAAAAAAAAAAAAAAAAAAAAAAAAAAAAAAAAAAAAAAAAAAAAAAAAAAAAAAAAAAAAAAAAAAAAAAAAAAAAAAAAAAAAAAAAAAAAAAAAAAAAAAAAAAAAAAAAAAAAAAAAAAAAAAAAAAAAAAAAAAAAAAAAAAATCAAATACCACCTCTCCTTTCCCTCTACTGAAGAAAGATCTTGAAGGTTTCTTATGATAAGAAAAGCATACAGTAATTCAGCCTCTCAAACTGTTTCTTCCTTTTGCCTACCTTTCAATGTTTCCATCTGTGATATCTTGAACTTTGGTGGACAGGTCAGTATTTATTTTCTCCATTTGATCTTTATTCTCCAGGCCTATGCTGTTCCCATTGTACTTCTCTGTGGTTATTTTGGTTTGGTATGGAGGAGACTGCTCAGAACTTGGTGCTTGGTCCTCCTTAGAGAGCTCCTTCCACCGTTTCTGCAAACAAAGAGAACATATTTCAAACATTCCCGTAACACTGAAAGCCCTCTTTGCCCAAGATGTCTTGTCACAGAAAAGTCACAGAAGCAGATTAAAGGAACTGCTAGATCAAGGAAAAAAAAAAAACCAAAACCAATTGCTAGATGAAGAAGTAAGGTTAGATGAAGATGCATCTTCTCCAGCAATGAACCCTTTTTATATTTCCCCAGGATGATGCTACTGTGAAGGTATGAGGCCACTAACTTGGTCCACAGTAGCTCCACAATGAGAAAGCAACTTGTCTTGTATAGTCCTGCACTGTTCAGCACTTTCCATCTCCCTCTACTCTCCACAGGCCTACACTGTGCTGTTATTTATCATGGCTCCAAAACACAGTAGGACCAAGAACTGCCTAAAAAGAGAGAACTGGAGAAATTTGCAACCCCAATGGAAAAAAGAGGAAAAAAAAAAAATCTATGCCAAAGTTGTGGTCTACTATTTCACCTCTGGGCTAATGGACCACTAGACCTACTGCATCATGAAACAGATATTCACCTTGTTTTGAGAAGTAATCTGAAATGAGATGGAAGAAAAAATAAAGGATCAGAAGTAAGACTGGTTTGCTAGATCCCTGTCCTAATGGGTAACTGTCCTAATGATGACTAGTCTGAAGGCTTTCTTGCAACAAAATTTCATGCAGAAAAAAAAACCTAGAAGGGTAACAGGAAGGAAAAGAATCGCCCCTAAAAAACAATCAGTTCTTTTCTCACACAAATCAGCCAGCCTGTAAAGAGACAGAATACCTTGGGGGAAAAAAAATCAGTTACTTCCATATGTCCGTGATAAGAAAGATGAACTGAAAATTGACTCTTCACAAAACGAGTGTTAGATGATCATCTGTTGAATGATTTCAAGACTGCTGGTCTAAACTAAATATCAGACTTGGAGATTGATGTCAAAAAACCCAGCTACTTATAAATTAACTGCTGGCAGAATCAGCTTTAACAATAAACCGACTCCTCCATCGCAGAGGAGCTTCCAGTATAGACCTGAAATTCACAAAGGGAGTCTTCATGCACAAGAGGCATCACCCTCAGAGGTTTTCTTTGTTTTGTCTTAAACAAACAAAAAACCAAAAAGGAAACAGCCACTAACAAATAGAAATCCACTTAGCAGCTCCATCCTAACTGTCACAGAAAAAGGCGTTTTGGAAGACATAGTTGTGTCCATGAGAGACTTGCTGGCTAAGATAAATACTGATTCCATCTGGAGTGATAAGCCACACAGGAAGAACTGAAATCAGAGACGATTTTATTACTCTTGTCAAACAGAAGGAATTTCCCACCAAGAATTCTATTTTAAACATGTACTAACAATCGCTTAAATGGCTGGTAATTTTAAGTTTAAGTATCTACGACAAGACTATGTGAATGGCAGGACTAGTAAAATAACGTACAACTTGGAGCAGACAGACAAGGAGGGCTGTGTTGCTAAACTACCTTTGCCATTTTGCGATAGTACCTGCAGCTTTACAAAAAAGAACAACAAAAATGTATCTCAGGAACTGAAGTACTACACTGCATCTTGTGAAATTATGTCTGGAAGAAACAAAGAAGTGATGAAGTTTGATTTAAGAAACACAATTGTCCTTAAAATTACAGCTAAAATGCCTGTGTAGGGGCACTAAGACTTAGGGCCTGTACTGCCTCTTGGAATGAATGGACACAACAGAAAGGCAGGTTAAGATGTTCAGTTGACAGAATCAGGTGAACGTCAGATACAGTTTTTGGATTCACAAGTTTCAGTACAAAATTATCATAGAATCATTAAGGTTGGAAAGATCTCTAAGATCATCGAGTCCAACCGTCGACCCAACACCACCATGCCCACTAAACCATGTCCCTAAGTGCCTCATCTACTCGTCTTTTAAATACCTCCAGGGATGGGGACTCAACCACTTCCCTGGGCAGCCTGGTCCAATGTTTAACCACTCTTTCAGTAAAGACATTTTTCCTTACATCCAATCTAAACCTCCCCTGCCGCAACTTGAGGCCATTTCCTCTCGTCCTATCGCTAGTTACTTGGGAGAAGAGACCAACACCCACCTCGCTACAACCTCCTTTCAGGTAGTTGTAGAGAGCGATGAGGTCTCCCCTCAGCCTCCTTTTCTCCAGGCTAAACAACCCCAGTTCCCTCAGCCGTTCCTCATAAGACTTGTTCTCCAGACCCTTCACCAGCCTCGTTGCCCTTCTCTGGACACGCTCCAGCACCTCAACGTCCTTCTTGTAGTGAGGGGCCCAAGAATTACAAAATTCTTGTTCTCTGTCTGCAAAACACATCTACGGATCTAAGGAATTCAACCTTCTTTGTCCTTTCAAAGCCACAAGTTTGTTTTCCAGAGACCACTCATTTCAACAGATTTTTCTGAAAGACTGATTGTAAGTTATTCTACTATGTTGTTGAAGCAATATTAACTTATCTTTATTACGAAGGAATTTTATAGAAATGAAAACTTCAATCTTGTTCCACCTCACCCATTTTATATAGTGCAGTGCTGTAGTACAATTAGGAAGCAGGTAATTGTTTCAGCTACAGCACCATGCAGCAGCACACCAACCACACGCCTCTGCAGGGCTTCAGGGCAACCTAGGTGAGTGTATGATCCTTCCTTTCAGTCACAGGTGGAAATCCCAAAGGTGCTAAATGAGGGGAAGAGACTCCTCACTCCCCCCGATACAACTGTTGCAGTTGCAGCCACTAGCTGTAAGCAAGTAAAGGTTCAAGTGTTCGTTGTGTTTGATCGCACAGTTTACTGATTTCCGAAATCCATGGAGATTTCAGAGATGAACATTTGGGTATTGTTATATTAGAGAAGTGTTCAATGACTTCATGCCCTCCCATCACCAGCAGAGAGAAGTAAACACCTCTCATGCTCTGGACAGTACAACTGTTCCCTATGGGGGGCAGGCGGGGCAGGGAATGATCTAGCTGACCTTGAAAGGAGAAATACTCCTGTTAAGTACTGCCAATTGATTTTCTGCACACAGCCCTGAGGCCTAAAGGGAAAAGCACCTGGACAACTGCCTGCACTGCAGAAAACACTGGTCTAGGAAAGATCCTATGAACAATCGTAACAAGAAAAAGAAAAAAACAAATGAGAAGTCTGCCTTCTTATGCATTCTCTTAGTATGAAGAAATAACACACTTAATAACTGACAAGCAGTATTCTGAGTTGACAATGCTCCCTTGTGTCCAGAAACAAGAAATCCTGTTATCTAGATGGGTGAGTGTGAGAACCAGGGCGGCTCACAGTTAGGAGCGTGGCTTTTTAAAAAACAAAGCAGAAAAATTATTAGAGAGAAGAATACCCTCATACCACCAGAAACAGCTTCCAGAAAATAAAGAGGCTAAACTGCTGTTAGTGTTAGGATGAATCATGCAGCCTTCTAGGCATATGGCGCAGGTGTCAGACTAGCGGCACACTACCTAGGTGTCGATTAGTAGTTGTGCAAAATTATTTATTTACATAGCAAGTCAAGAAATATTTGTAAAAGAGAAGAATCTGACAACTACCAGAACCACAGAAAAGAGGAAACGCGTTTTAGTTTATCTGCTTCATTCATGATTTTGAGATCAACAAAATGAAAAAGCCCTAGCATATGAAAGCAGAATTAAGTCTGTTTCGCAGCCTCTCCTCCCAGTCCTCCCTCCCACCTAGCCCCAGCCATTTAAAATAGCTGTAGCTACTGTTACATCTGCAAGCCACACTGATAAAATAGCGTGATTTGATAAGCTGTTTACCCCAAAACTCATTATATTCAGCCAGATTCTACTAACCGTAACACAAATTTTAAAGGGGGGTGGGGGTGGGAAAGCAACTTTACTGATAAACCTGATCTGTAGCATCAGGCAACTTTATTGTTAGGAAGATATATAGCAAAGACCAAGGAATCCTAAAAAGATCCTTGCTATCTTTTCAAAGTGATACTGGGCATTACTTTTGCTTTTCAGTATTGAAGATATCTATTTAACCTTTTTTTTTTTAAACATTAGTACAGACAAGTTATTTTTATATTTTATCTAGCAGGGGACAAACACATAGGATAAAAAGTTTAGCTGATAGAAGGCGTTGATCAGATACCCTCTAAAGTATCTAGGCATCTACTGAAAAAGGCAAATTATTTAAATTCTCACAAAGTTACATGCTTTGAAATAATTTGGAGGTCATTTTTAACTACTGTTAGCAGTCTACTGTTTATGTTTAAATACACAGAGCTAAACATTTACCTGTATAGTTGAATCTCCCATTATAAATTTTGCTCCTTCTATTACAGCCATATATGAAAATCTTAGTTGATCAGGAGTCTGAATAAGTCCCATTCGATATTTTCTCATATCCAGTAATACCTTCTTAATATCTACAGAAAATGGGTCTTTTTTCTCCATCTGCAAAGAAAGTTACATCGAAAGCGTCATTGCTACTGATGAGAGACAACGTATAAAAAATAACAAGTAAAAATGAGTCATAAAATTCAATCTAAAAATTAATTTCTTCATATTATGTTTCCATTAGTTATATACAAAATTAACATCTCAAATGATTTCTAAATTGTTTTTACAGGAAAAAAGTTAACCATCTAATGAAAGCTTATTATGAACAAGTCAATGATCATGTATTAACCAAATAAATCAGTACCCTAATATCAAGTCTTAAAATTAAGAAATTTAGATATGTTTGATTTTATTCAGGCATGTATTTGTACTTTGAAATAGGACTATAAGAATCAGAACCATAAAGCAGTATTTTCTACCGCTCCTGAACGGAACAGCAATTTGGAATGACTGAATGTGGCAGAAGTTTCCTTATTTAAAGCAGAATCCCTAATCCAAGCAATGCACACACTTGTCCCCACATTACATTCATGGGGTGTTTTTAACCACGTATCTGCACTTCTTGCAATGTTCACTTTAATTCACCTAATATTAACGTATACTTGCATCAAAATACACACCTATGTTTTTCAAAATGCAGAAGAAAAACTGAAGAAAAAAATAAAAAAATAAATTGAGAGGACCTAACCAAGCCAGAAGATAAGTGTCTTACAATTTAAATGACATCCTATTTCACCTCACCCTGTGCTGTACTTCTCGCTATTACCAAGCACAGCCAAAGACAAAAAGTCTGTGTCTGGACTTGAAAATCCAACAAAAATTTTAAGAGCTTTTAAATATTATTTAACATTTAAAGTTCACTCAAGTCATGAGCAATTATAGATGATGCAGTTCACCGAGTAAGCAAAAAACCTACTCATTCATGTGGTACTGCAACTGGCTACCAAGCCCCACCTCCCAGAGGGCTGCACAGCTAGGGAAATGCTGCACCATGCTCCATTACACACTGCAGGAGATCCAGGGGCATGGCTGAGTTCTCATCCTAGTTCAGATAGCAATTTTCTGCAACCTTAAGAAAAGGGGCCTGTCAGACCTGTAAGATATTCCATGTTTAGGGATAAAGACTTATATATTCAGTTGTCTTAATATATATTCACAAGCCTAACTGTAAGCTCAGATAAAAAAAAAAAATTTCAATCTTTTCTAAGCATACCTTTTATAAAAAGGAAAAGAATGCTTACTATTTACTTTTCAGGAAGCTTTGAAAATGTGTAAAGTACTTCAAGATGGATTTGTAAATGTATTTCAAGAGTTGTGTTTTTAAACCATCAAAATAGGTGAAGGAAAAAAAAAGTATGATGTCTTAATGTCCTGGTTTTGGCAGGGATAGAGTTAATTTCCTTCCTAGTAGCTGGTACAGTGTTTTGGATTTAGGATGAGAACAAAGTTGATAACGCACCGATGTTTTAGTTGTTGCTAGGTAATGCTTACACTAGCCAAGGACTTTTTAGTTTTCCATGCTCTACTGACTGAGAAGGCTGGAGGTGCACAAGAAGCTGGGAGGGGGCACAGCCCGGACAGCTGACCCCAACTGGCCCAAGGGACATTCCATACCATGTGACGTCATGCTC